TATCCTAGATAATTCAGTTTCAATCTGGATAAAGTTTTACGGTGCTTGCGACTGCATAAGGTTATATGATTAAGCGCATATTGTGAAATTCAGTTACTCAGATCTTGTTGGAAATGTCAGCTATTTACAACATTGAATTAACAACACATTTGAGGCAAACACAGAAAGCTTGAACGAGGAAAATAAAAAAAGAACAAAAACACAGAAATCTGTAAATTATGAAAGAAATTTATCCAATTTTGCAATACAATCCCACGCTGATCAAGTAAAAAGCACATAATATTAAACATGCGAATATTCATAAGTTAACCATTCAATTTGTACTTTTGTGTAGGAAAAGTTTTGCTGCCTTTCCGATCAGCCCAACTCTAATACATGTACACAAATGACGTACTTTCACACTTATCGCACCCTCAGCGCTTTCTTGTCGTGTTTCCATCTTTTATTACAGTGAAAATGTGACTTCTTAAGCTCAATTTTTGTTATGAACGGTGTTCACTGTTGTGAAAAATGGAGATAGGACAGGAAAGCACTGAGGTTGCATTATGTACATGAAAGAACAAAAGTCCATAAAAAACCCTCAGTATGTGCATGTGAACAAGGAGCACGAGGCAGGGGTAGGCCACGGGAAACATGGAGGAGAAGTGTGGAAAGGGACATGAGAGAAATGAAGCTCACTTGGAACGAGCTTGGAAGGATGGCTCAGGACAGAGATAAATGGAAGGAGCTTGTATGTGGCCTGTACCCTGCCAGGGGTGAAAGGCATTGATGATTGATGATGTTTATGTGACAACAAGCAATAACATCGCCAGACACGGCATGTAAGCTCTGTCTGTAGTCCTTGGAAATAACGATGGACAAACAAATTGAGCACAAAAAGAAGAAAAAGCTCCATATCTCCACAAATATACTGTCATTGATTTATTAACCCATTTTAAAAACAAGCTATAACATCACCAAACACAAGTAAGCTCTGTAGTCCTTGGAAATAACTACGGACAAAATAGATTGAGCACTAAAAGAAAAAACCCAATATCTCCACAAATATACAGTCATTGATTTATTAGTCCATTCTTAACTCATTCGGGACCCATCGGACGTAGCCTTGAGCTCCGCTGGAGACGCATCGGATGTGTACGTCCGATAGAATTTCTCGACCGCTGTATCCGCACAAATAAAGGTATTCCAGGGGACAAACTTTTGGTTAACATTGCTAAGCCATATTTTATTTTGCATTTATTTACTTTTGACCGTACAGCGTCGGTTTTTTTGGTAATTTTCTGTGGCGATTTATGAAGGCAGTCGAGGCGACAAAGAACACGGATCTTCGAGGACTGCCATACAAAAGAACTATTCACAATTACGTCAACTATTTCTTTTCAGTATTTGGACTGTAAATTGTGTTGTGATGTGTTATAGTTGTGTTGTGATGTGTTTTTAGCTGCGTTATAGCTGTGTTGTGATGTGTTATAGTTGTGTTGTGATGTGTTATAGTTGTGTTGTAATGTGTTATAGCTGTGTTGTGATGTGTTTTTAGCTGCGTTATAGCTGTGTTGTGATGTGTTATAGTTGTGTTGTGATGTGTTATAGTTGTGTTGTGATGTGTTATAGTTGTGTTGTGACGTGTTATAGTTGTGTTGTTACTTTATCTTGTTTGCTTTTGCATTTCTTCTCTGTCAACGTAGGGGAAAAAAAAGAATTTGGTGGTCTCATACACCATTTTTGTATGAGTCCAGGTAAATTTAGGAATATATCCAGGCAAATTGGCTTAGATCTGAGGCAAAGTCCAATTGTTAAATGTGTAGTGTGTAGATAGTGAAAACAGACTTTAAAATATTCAAAAGGGGGAAAAATGGCAAAGTTGACCTAAATTCGCGTGTCTCTGGGAGCATATCTGGTCCAAAACCTGCGTCCCGGATGAGTTCATAAAAACTAGCTATAACATCGCCAAACACAACAAGCAAGCTCTGTCTGTAGTTCTTGGAAATAACGACGGACAAACAAATTAAGCACAAAAAGAAAAAGCTCCATATCTCCACAAATATACTGTCATTAATTTTTAGATCACCAGAAAAATTTCAGAAATCGACCACAGTTTATTTACTGTCAGTACATGTACTGACTAAACGAGACAAAGAAGCAGTTTGTGTGTGTGTGTGTGTGTGTGTGTGTGTGTGTGTGTGTGTGTGTGTGTGTGTGTGAGTGTGTGTGTGTGCGCATGCATGCATGTATGTGTATGTGTGTGTGTGTGTGTGCGGGTGGGTATACATATATGAGAAAAATATTAATTTTTTCCCTTACTGTACTTTGTACTTAGATTTCTGTTACACGTCGAGAGCTGTACACACACAAGGGGTAGGTCATATACAAACGTCCTACAGCATTATCATCATTATTAATATTATCATTATCATCATTATCATCATTCACATTAACGTCACATCAGAACACAGTAGCAGCATTTCTGCCACGAGGCAACTCAAATCACGGGGAAGAATCAACATCTAGGTACAGTTCACTGCACAACCAAGCTGCTTCATCACTGCAACTTCAGGGCTGTCAGTTTTAAACTTACAGGTACACTTTGTATATATATATATATATATATATATATATATATATATATATTTATATCAATCACCAACATACACTCTGTGAATGGACATAGTGCAACTATGTTGCAAGAAGCAATCCCTTCTTTAGGAAAAGAAAGAATAACAGACAAAAATCAAAACATTCAAACAATTAATGTTAATATTGTTAGTGTGTTTACACTGTCATATGCTTATCCCTTTCCTTCTCTTCGACATAACAATATATAATATACAAGTAACTGCATGGACCATATATCTTCTCTTCGACATAACAATATATAATATACAAGTAACTGCATGGACCATATATCCTTTTCCCTTTTCTTCCTAAATCATCTTTCTTCAGGATTCTTTTCCTCTCTTCTCTCCTACAACGGTTTTACATTTCTGTCAAACATGGCTAGTCAGCCAAGCTGGCAATCTTCACAATCGACAGCTCTGGCCAAGTGATGCCAAATTGCACAGGTTTTAACGCCCCTTGAAGCACTGTAAGTATTGTTTAAGAGGCAGGACCTCTGAATTTACCGTCCTTCTCCGAAGGGACCGAACCAAGTGGGAAAATTTGTGGAAAGTGTTGTTTTTTTACCAAGAACACAGCCGAGGCTCGAACCTGCAAACCCACGCTCTCACAATTACAAGTCCAGTAACCTAACCACTAGTAAGGTTTTAGTAAGGTTTTACGGCGCTCGCAACAGCATAAGGTCATATGAGCGCCAAGGGGTGAATGTTAACAGAGAAGTCCTTATAGGGAATCAGACTTACTCTGCTCACCTCTCTAGCCTCAACAGCACAAAGTCTGCTTCAACTATCAAGGCACCCCGGAAATATCAGTTCACAAGAGAGTGACAAACATACAAAAGAAGTAGAGGAAAAACGACGACAGTAAGGATGAGGAAAGAAAAAGCAGCAATTCCCCCAATGTTGTTCCGGCACAGTCATGAGCAAGACATTGATAAATCAGCACATTTACAATTCTTCTGTGTATAAGAACATGTTAATATCCCCCACCAACACCACTACCATGTCTTGAGGACCAACACTTTCAGACATTATGCCAGAAGTCGAGTCTTCCTCAACAACACATTAATTATGCGAGAATTTGTAGAAATAGAAATAGAAGCAGCAAACATAAAGATATTCCACTTTGTTGGTGGTTTTACGTCCCCCTCGCCACAATTTAGATCATTTAAGTTTAAGAGGAGGGCTTCTGACCCTGCCTGTCAGGGCCAACCCGGGCTGGGAGCGACAGAACATCCCGGCAGACAGACTCGGGCTGAGAGCGACACAACATCCCGGCAGACAGACTCGGGCTGAGAGCGACACAACATCCTGGCAGACAGACCCGCGCTGAGAGCGACACAACATCCCGGCAGACAGACTTGGGCTGAGAGCGACACAACATCCCGGCAGACAGACAGAGATAATTCATAACTATTTCCCCCCACTTGGGAATTGAACTTGGGTGAGACAGCGAAGGACGTAAGTGATACACCATAGATGCCGCCTCCCATATATATAAGTCAATAGTCTTAACAAAGAAAGCTCTGGATAGAAAGTAAAATGCAAAGCCAAAAGCACAAGCAAAGAAATATATAGATCCAAATCATTTTTATCTACTCTCCTTTAATTTCATCATCATCCTCACCATCATCATCATTATCATTATCCTCACCATCATCCTCACCATCATCATCATTATCATTATCCTCACCATCATCCTCACCATCATCCTCATCATTATCATATTTCTGGGCACATGTCGCCATCTTTCTCCAGAAGCGGCAATAACAGCAACAACTTTCCACTGACGTTTCCATCCAGTGATGCTTCCACCACAACAATGTCTGACAACCTTAGGTCGTATACTTGACTTACATCTGGTACCCAGAGAAATAAATCACGGGGGGAAAAAAAAAGAAATTCAAGAATACAGAAAAAAACTAAAGAAATTTTTAAAGTTTTCAAAGCCAAACATTTACATACCAAAAGTGCCCTCAACAAGTGTGCTCGAATCGAAAGTAAAAAAACAAAACAACCAACCCAACTTGTCCAATTAATGATAGTCACAGAACACAAGGATCTATATTGCAATCATCATGATCATCATCATCATCACCATCATCATCATCATCATCGTCATCATCATCATCATCATCACCATCATCACCACCACCATCACCATCATCATCAAGTGCCAGATGTGAAACAGACATCGGTGATCTTGGTTCTCCATTCATTTCTCCACTCGGATGCTCTCAAAAAAAATTCCCATATCTCGGTGTTTCCTCATCACCCATCTGTTCGGGTTTTCCAAATCAGTTTGTTTGAAAGTATAAAAAAAACCCAAATCAGTTTGTTTGAAAGTATAAAAAAAACCCAAATCAGTTTGTTTGAAAGTATAAAAAAAACCCAAATCAGTTTGTTTGAAAGTATAAAAAAACCCAAATCAGTTAGTTTGAAAGTATTAAAAAAAAGCCAAATCAGTTTTGGGTCTAACCCCGTCTCGTTTGCTGTCTATTTTAATAGTGAGAGTTTGACGTTCAAAACTTTCGTGTCCATTATAATAATAATAAACAGCATTTGTATGGCCCATACCCCCACTCTATAGCAAGTGCTTTACACTATATTATTACCCCAGCCGACCATAGAACACTCAGAAATATTTTCAGCTTCCCGGGAAGCATACAGTGCAAGCAGCTGGTTAAGCGCTCAAACACTAACAAACTGACAAGATCTTTCATTGTCTAGGGCCGGGTGGTACTCAGTCCCACCTGGGTGAAGTGAGGAAAATTCGTGTAAAGCGACTTTCCCAAGGACACAATGTCAGGCCCCTGACGGGGATTCGAACCCACGACCTTACGGTTGCGAGTCTTGACAAAGACTGGCCAGCGAGTGGCCCATGAGGACTTCCTCTCACCGCACAGCGTCACAACATCTTCACACGGGAAATCCGCGCCCCTGAAGTTTGTTTTTGGCCAGTGTAAAAAGTGTCAAAAACAATTCCTCCAAATGAGGGTCCATGTGAAACTCGCACTCCGGCAAAGAAGCCCATTGGGTAGAACTCTCCTGTCTGCTGCTCTCTGATTGGCTGTTGGTTCTTTGGAGCCTCTCCGATTGGCTGTTACTTCTTTGGCGTGTCTCTTCGGAGGAATTCTTGACAGGAACGGTTTCTTCCGGTCGCATCTCCGGGATTGTTTGGTCCGACTCCCGAGGCTCGGGTAAATCATGGCCCGTCAGTGGCTGAGAGGTCAGGTTGACCGTTGAGTCGATGAAAGCAGCCACCCTCTCCTTGTTGGCGTTCTGGTTCTGCTGGAAAAGATTTCAGAAAAAAAAAAAGATAGAATTTATTTTGTTTTAGTAAGAGTTTTACGACACTTGCAATACAACAAGGTCATATAATGACTGCTGGAGATTAGAGGTGTTACAAGAGAGTAACAGACACAAAAAATGAAGGAGGAGAGATCAGTTATTGATGTCATCTTAAAGCTTGTTTATTTGTCATGCTTTGGATGAGAAAAATTACCCTTCTGTCATGAACACAAGTCGAGATATTTGCGATTGAAGGAGGTTGGATCGCCTGGTTTCAAAGGTAAAATAAGCGGAAAAAAATGGCAACCAAAGTTTTGGGACTTCCAAACCTTGAAAGTCCTCGAAAACTGCAAATTTCCTTTTTTTCTGCCTTAAATCAGTGTTTTTCAGTCAAATCCACACAGACATGTATTTATAAAAGGACCTAAAATGTGTCGAGTGAAAAAACAACAATTTTATAAAATTTGCCAAAAGGGCGTAAAAAGGTTTCTTCAATTTCATTATTTTGACAAGAGCCTCATTTCACCATGATGCCTCATATATTTTTATCATCAATATTTCATCATAATCATTTTTTAAAATCGGATCATTATCATAGTATTACCATCATCATAATTATTACAATTATTATGCAACATTTTATCATTATCACACACACCACCATCACTCACCTATGTATTATTACATATTTTATCTTTATAATAATAATAATAGACAGCATTTGTATAGCGCAAGTCCCCGCTCAACAGCAAGCTCTATGCACTTCACAATCTATACTGTTACCCCAGCAGATCTGAGAGCATTCTGAAACAACCTCAACTTCCTGGGAAGCATACAGTGCAAGCGGCCATTTATAGGCGCTAAAACACTTACATATTGAAAAGATCTTTCGCTGTCTATGGCCGGGTACCCATTTCCACCTGGGTGAGGTGAGGAAAATTCTTGTAAAGTGTCTTTCTCAAGGACACAACGTCGGGCCCGCGGCTCGAACCTCCGAACCCGCAACCTCACGATTACGAGTCCGATAGCCTAACCACTAGACCACCGACAACCTCACGATTACACGAGTCCGGTAGCCTAACCACTAGATCACCGACAACCTCACGAGTCTGGTAACCTAACCACTAGACCACCGACAACCTCACGATTACGAGTCTGGTAACTTAACCACTAGACCACCGACAACCTCACGAGTCTGGTAACCTAACCACTAGACCACCGATGCCACTCTTATCAAACACACCACCACCGCTCACCTCCATGACGGTGTTACAGTAGAACTGATCACCCCGCCCCCGCCCCGCCCCCAGATGACAGCAGGCCACGCCCACACACCATCACTCACCTCCATGACGGTGCTACAGTAGA